TGAAATAGCTGTTCACCATGGACAAAAAATAAATAATCAGAACTAGAAAAGTCTTCTCTCTCTCAAGTCACTCTGGAAGATTAGTTTTTGGTTTCAAAACAATCCCCAAGTTTATTCAAAACCCACTACAAGTAAATTAGCTGCAACTCAACTGTGTGAAGTCTTCTCAGAGGTAATATGACACAAAGCTTGCAAGCTCCACTGACAGAAACATCTTATATATTCATAACATGTCCAGCATATCATAATCCCATTAATTAAAATAGTGAAATAAAGAAAAAATATTTGAAAGCCCACCAAATCAGAAAACTGGAGTTTCTTTCACAAAAGGTCATTATTCTCTTTCATGTTTGAAAATTTCAGCCTTGCAAGTGGTAAATTTCTTGGGAAATCTGGGCAAACAGAACTGACATGCACTGAATTACATTACAAAGTTTTATCTGGGACTGAAGAAAACAAAAGCATGCAGTAGAAAGGGAAATTTTACATGACTAATCATGCCTTTTTCTTAAGAACAATCTGTTTACTGCTAGTTCCCATTACATTACACTTTGTCTAGAGAACTTATTTCTGTGTGAGGACTCATCTACTAATATGCAGTTACTCATTAAACTTGTTTTTGTTGTTATTTGAGAATAATGTTCTCACAGATAGAGAGGTATGGCATTATTAAGAAGGTTGTCAACTGATATTTGAAAGGGACCATAACATTAGTGAGAATAAAGAAAAAAAGAAGAAAAAAACCCAAAAAACCAGTCCCTGTTGTTTTGGATTCCTTCCATACTACCCACTTCCTTCATATTTGATTTCATCTTCTTTGCTGCCACAGTTACATTCAAAGCTGAATACCATTTTTCCAGGAGTCTTTCCAGAAGGAAATGCATTTTAGGGTCAGGGCTGCTGATGAAAAATTATCAAAAAAAATCAAAGTAAGAAAGGGGAAAAAAAAAAATCACAGAAATGTTGAGGCTGGGAGGGACTGCAATGCAGAGACTCAGCTATAGATTAGTTTCCTAGTTTCCTTTTCCACTGCTGATCTGACAATATCTGATAGTGCTTTTGCCAATACTATGTGTGTTCCTGCAAGCAAAGGTCTAATAGCATGAAGCAGAAGTACTTCAGCCATTTTAAAAACATCTGAAACCAGAATTTAAAAGCATCAAGTTAGGGGGGGGAAAAAAAAAAATCAGGATCCCCTGAATCCACAGCCAAACTCAAATGAATGATACTAATCCTCAGTTTAGAAACTGCCCCCTTTCTTCTGCAGACTATCTATTTGCTTGTTAGTCTAGTGCTTAAGGTCAACAAAACATTCCCACCCATCAGTATGAGATATAGCCTTGCAATTCACTCAATTATAACATGGCACCATGTCACACAACAAAATTCTTCCCACTTCTGGGCCAGCCATATTGCGTGACCGTGCTCATCTAAGGAAAGTTTTAAATTACTGCCCCCCTGATTTTTTTCTACACATCTATAACTGTATAAATAAAGCATTGAGTCACTTTGGTATCTCACTGATAAAACGCTGAATTTGATTAGTGATCCATATATCTCTTCCCCCATGAATATTATAAAGAAAATATACAAGTATAAGTATTTAGATTATTCTATTTGAAACTGCAGTTAAGCTATTGATGTATTACAAGAAGAACATCACCAAGGTACTGTATGATTGTGTGATTTTCCCTTCCATTGATACAGCCAGTTGAGTATAGTAAAAACACAAACTGGTAATACATATAGTAAAAGCCTTCTCAGTCTGACAGCAAAGTATCACGGCAACAGCAGAGGAGAATACTGAACTGGCCTTGTGTCAGATACACTGTTCCCTCTGGTCACACCTTCTGGATTTTCTGGTTTCTCAGTATCTTGTAATATACATTAAAGCACCTAAATAACCTCAGTTTAGTCCCCAGTCTGAAAATACTAATAAATCTCTGTCATAAAACACATCAGAGGTACAGAGAAAACACGTGGCATAGAATACATTCACCACATAGTCATCGAGGTATTATAAAGAAATATCTAGCGCAGCAGTTAAATAACATGTAAGTCTGAATGCAAAATTTATATACACCAGACAGTTTGCTCCGGTATGTGGCAAATCAAATCCAGTTAGTACACCTGTACTTGTTATAGGTGCCTATTCATGCCAAAGAGAAACCATAGCCTTTCCCTCTTCCTCACTGAAAAGACCACTCCCTTTTTTTGGGCATAGAAGTGCTGTAGACATAAGAATTACACAGTGTTTAGTAATCATAAGGGTGTCCTACAAGAAAGAAAATAAACAAGGATGTCAGAGTATCATTTCTACTCTGGAAATCCAAGGGGGGAATTTCCCCACATAACCACTCTGTATGAAACCCCTATGAGAAAGGTGCAATCCACAACTGGTATTCAGAAGAACTAGAGATACTGAGAGTAGTTCCTAATCTGGAATTTAGTTTAATATTTGTTTATTACAAAAAGTAAAATTCCAATTTACATCAAAGTTTATAAAAATGATAATAGGTACCTCACCTAACACAGTGGAGAGAGAGATTGCAACAGGGAAAGGCTTTGAGTTCTTCTTAACAATTGCATTTGGGTAGCTGCCCAGGATGCACTCCAGCATAGTCCCCAGCCCTGGCCCTTAAGTCTGAACACTGTCGGCATGCTGGTTTTGTGATCCTGCAATCTGGGAATCTGCTGAGCATGCCATGACACTCATACTTAAAAATAAAGAGAATTTGGTACCTAGCCATAAATCAGTCAGTGCCCTTCCACTTTTACAACAGTGGCCTAAACTGTTCACTTTTTTCAGTGCCAGAAGAGGTCCAGCTAGCACACCTCTCCATTTATTTACAAGAACCATTGCAATTACTCTATTCCATTGCTGTCTAATGCTGGCCATTTATAATAATATTTATCAGGTTCCAAAAGTGTGTCAAGCAAGGCAACTAACCGCCCTTACACCTCTCCTGTGTTCTCCCTTCGACTGCCAATTTCAACTTGCAGCAATCTGAATATAAAAAGCTTTACAGAATGCTCTCTTCAGCCAATCAAATCCTTTCCCACCTCCATCTGTAATACAGGTGGGTGACAACAAACCATTAAAACAAATATTCAAAACATTTGGTTTGGATAGTATTTGAAGTGTGACTTTCTGATGTACTCTTACTGGGAACAACAGGAGATATTCTGGATAGGATTCAAAAAACAAACAAACAAACAAACAAACAAACAAACAAACAAACAAAAAACCTAAACACACACATTTAAGTGATTTAGAAGCTTACCTACCAGTAACTTGCAGTAAACTACTCCTGCACTTCTACTTTCACATTGATTTTGCATGACTAGTCTTCTGTGTAATTTTTGATGGTTGCACTCTTAATACCTGTGAAATTGGTACAATTGTGCAGCAAGTTGCAAAAAACTAGGCCAGTATCACAGCTGAGCCAGTTTCACACAAACTTGCTCACACTCAGGAGTGTCTAATATCTATCTGCACTAGATAAAGATATATTTAATCTCCTCCAGATGGAATAACACAGTCTGATGTACAATCATATGCTGCCTTGAGGACACATTTTAGCAGATCCAGGGATATTAACACATTGCTGAGGCCAGCTGCTAGAAAACTCCCCGAAGGCTTTAGCCATTTATCAGGCCTGCATTAGTTACAACATTTTCAAGTGTTGCAGTGTCATCTGTAACCTTCAGGTTACAATGTAAAGAGATGTCCCTTGATTTGACTTTCAGGCAAGGCTCAAATCCAAGGTCTCTGAGCTTTAAATTGTCCTGATTACAATATGTTTTGGTCCTCCGCTCTCTTGAAATATTTAAGTCAATGGAATTTTGCTTTGTTCTCAGGATGTAAAGTTGTAGCCTGATTTTACCGGACATGCATTTCACTGTGCTTTTAGCCAGAAAAATATTTGTACATCAAGATTTCACTCAGTGAAATTATGCTCCCCTTTCACTCGGTGAAATTATGTTCCCTTCTCTCTTTTAAAGCTTTGAGGATTTCTTGATTCCTTTTTTTCTTTGGCTTCTCACATATCAAAACAACTTGAGAAGATATATTCTCATAAGTGTAACAAAATACAGTGCTCACATTCTTAGTGTAGGGGCAATTTCTGACAGATATATGCCAGGACTTTCATATAAACAGTGTGCATGCAGATACTGAATCTGCAACACTCAAGAATGTAAAAAAAGCAACTTGCAAAAAATTACTGCATAGCAAGAGAGACCTACTGGTTCAGTACTGCTAATTCTTAACTCTTCCCCTTTCCCACTTTAGAGACAAAAGAGGCAGGAAAGAGGCATACTGGGTTAGGAATGTGGATCTGCGTGTCATAGTTAAACCTCTACATGGGCAGAAGCCTGCTCCATAAAACAGGTAAGAGTCCACTCAAATACTACTCCCTTTTCTTTGCTGCTAGGCTCACCCTTCTGCATGTTATGACATGCATACAGGAGAATGCTAAAGCATTTCTAGAAATGGGAGTATTCACTGAGTTTACAAAACAATTATCTCCCTTATGCACTGGTCCAGTGACATTTTGGTGCTTAAACAAATTATGCTTGATCATTAGAATTTTACAAAGAGAAAATGTAGCTAGCAAATTATAAAGCACCTATGCATGTACAGTACAAAATTACAAGCCTGCACAGCCCACCTCATGACCACTAAAGCTCAATAACAAACTTAAAAATCTACAAGTCATTTATCTGTGAACTCCCATGGAACAGATTGATTGTTCTGTTTCAGTTTGCTAAAACTGGAACCACCAGTGTACTGACTCTTAATATAAACTATCTCCTATTTAATCAGGGAAACACAAACAAAGCAGAAATGAAGCCAACCAACATCTGCCATCAGGAAGAAGGGAATCAAATACTGTCCTAAAATGAAAATTTCCAAGGCAACAGCTAATTTATTTGCTAACTCCAGCATTCATTCATGCAGCCTCTGTTGCAAGCACTGATGTGTGTGAAACACTAACCTTCATCACTTCAACTTGCAGGTCTTCATTGAGTGAAGGAGTCACTTTGACGGCATTCAGCATCTGATTAAGCAACTGTTTCTCATCTGAGTCTGTTTCCACGGATACAAACCTCTCATCAGACAGCAGCTTCTGCAGAGAGAAAATGGCAATGTACTGGCTGAGACAAAACTACCTCTGCCCAATTCTTCTGTGAACTACTGCAACTAACTTATTAGTGCTTGGTACCACGGTGTTAGGTTTTTTATGTAAAAATTTCAAATGGAGCAAATAACACAAAATGCAAAAATACAGCAAAACTGGGAAACGTGCCATGAAGCCAGTGTGGGGGAGTCAACATCTTTTGAGACGGCTGCCATTCTGGTATCATCTTTTCCCCATCCTACTTCACCAATGTCCAGAAGAAAGTGGGCATCAGTAACTGATAAACCACTGCAAGTAATGCCCTCAGCAAAACATCTCAACATTTTAGAAGTGGGGAGAGAGTGGAACCTTTGCAGCCCCCTAAACCTAAAAACAACCAAAAGCTGCACTCAGGCTAGTATTCTGACATCAAACTGGTGCTATCAGATCCTCTGCCCAGCAGGTGACAGAGGCACTTCTTGTCCCAGTTGTTCCAATAGGGTACAGGGTGAAGCACAGTGAAGGAGGCACCTCTGATCATGGACAAGATGTGTTCTGCGTCATTCAGAAATTGATTAATAATGGATACAATCAAGTTCTCAGAAGGAAGGGTACTGTGAGTAAGTGACTAACACAAACATACACAGGAGTGTGTTCAGTACAGACTGAAAGAACTTCAGACTGAATATTTTAGGCTGATCAGATTTGTTTTGCCTGGAAAAAGCCAGTATCTGAGCAACTATCAACATGATCAGTGGTACTACTTCCTTGGAATTCTACTAGAAATGCTTCTTCTATTTAGTCTGTAACCACCTTCATGGGTGCCTCTTATTAGTGGCAGGCATCCTGCAATAGACATACCTACTCAAGTTTTTTCCCAGTTCCCATCTTCTTAGAAACTCCCACGACAGAGCAAAACTATCTTGTCTTAGATCCCAGGAACACAACCTTGCTGTGTCCCAGTGCAGACTTCGTGCAGCCCACTTCACCCTGCACATTTTGCATGACTTTTGTACTGATGCTCCTTCTCACCTTCAACTCTGTAGCACATTTCACTGGTTCATTCCTTCCTACTTTCTATGCTTGTACTGGTTTTGGTTGGAATAGTTAATTTTCCTCACAGGAGCTCATGGAGTGCTGTTCTGGATATGCGACCAAAAAACAGCATTGATAACACTCCCATGTTTTACTATTGCTGAGCAGAGCTTAGACAGTATCAAGGCCTTCTGTTTCTCAGACTGGCTGACCAGGAAGTAGGCTGGGGGTGCAGAAGAGTTTGGCAGGGGATACAGCTGGGACAGCTGACCCTAAAGTGACCAAAGGGATATTCCATACCATATGATACTGTGCTCAGCAACAGCAGCTGGGGAAAGAAGAAGGAAGTGGAGAAGACAGGGACATTCAGAGTTACGGCACTGGTCTTACAAAGTAACTATGAGGTATGATGGAGCCCTGCTTTCCTGGAGATGGCTGAACACCTGCTGGTCCACGGGAAGAAGTGAATGAATTCCATACATGCTTTTGCTTGTGCATGCAGCCTTGCTTTCCATATTAAACTTCACCTTAGCTCACAAGTTCTCTCACTTTTCATCTTTCGTTTCTCTCTCCCATTCCCCTGCAAGGGAGAGAGTGAGTGGCTGGGTTTGGAACTGTCAGCCATGATTAACCCAAAACAATGTTTTAAAGAATTTCCCACATATCAGTACATTAAGTGTTTTAGCACTGTACTGCCTGATGAGATTTAACTCAAACTGCAGTGAAAATAATGGGGTTTTCTACATAAAGAATGTTTAGTTCAGTACAGTAGATAGGGAGCTATTGGAGAGAGTCCAGGGAAGGGCTGCTAAGATGACAAAGAAACTGGAGCATCTCTCTTATGAGGAAAAGCTGGGAGCTGGAACTATTTATCCTGGAGAAGAGAAGGCTCAAAGAGGATGTAGTCACCATATATAAATATCTGAAGAGGGATTGCAAAGAGAACAGAATAGGATATTTTCAGTGGTGCCCAGTGACAGGATAAGAAGCTATGGCCACAAACTAGAACACAGAAGGTTTCCTCCAAACATCAGGAAACAATAAAAATCAGGAAACTGTAAGGGTGATCAAGCACAGGCTGCTCAGGGAGGTTGTGGAGTCTCCATCCCTGGAGACATTCAAAAGCCATCTGGACACAAACTTGGGCAACAGTTCTAGGTGACCTTATATGAGCAGCAGAATTGAACCAGATGACTTCCAGACGTCCCTGCTAACTTCCACCATCCTGTGACCTACTTGGATAAATTTAAGTTGTACTTAATCTCATTTTTGTCTTTTATCCTACTTTTTAACGTACCTCCCTATCAGCAGTTATGTGGATTGCTTTTCTGCCCTTCGTAAAACTTCATATATCATAAATGCAGATGAAGGACTGTATTGTTGCCTGGATTATCTATTTAGGCTTCAGAGGTAACATTCTTATTTAACTGTTACCATACTGAAAATTTGCAACTTTGCAATTCCAGTTCTTACAGAACTCAAGTGTTACGTACAGCAAGTTAGAAGATTAAAAATATAAAATTTATTCTCATCGAGTGTTCCCAAGGAAGTTACACTACAACACACAGTGGGTCACTCACAATTCTTCTACTATTCTTTGCTGATCTTCAGGCTGCAATGCTCTTCTAACAGGCATCCTCACACTAGTACAACAGACATATCTTTGTTTAAGTCCCACTTTTCACTTTAAAAGCAACTTCCATTCCATAGCTGAAACACAGGGCACAGGATGTCAGTGGGACCAGAGTACCATGCTGCAAGAAGGTGATCGCTGGCTTTTCCAGAAGACACGTATTACTGAATCTCTTCAAAAAACACCATTTTCCTTAGCCAGAGCCTTCTAGAACCACTACAACTATTTTGTGCCCCAATATGGGGCACACTCTAACCAAATATCTGACACCTTATATGCTGGATTAAATGAATTTGAATGATCCACTTACATCCTTATACTCACTTTCAATCAAAGAAAACAGCAAGTCTTGACTCAGCTTAGTTTCTCAGATGCTTAGCAGAGGTAAGCTTACTGAGACTAGGAAAGGGTCACACAAGGAAGAGTACATCTACATTTCAACGTTAAAATCCAGGAACTCCTATCTATCTGCAAATATTTTTAGCTTCTACAGAATCACCAGGCCTTGCTTGCATCCTAACCTCTTAACGCCATTACAGAAAAACAAACATTATTGTTAGATCAACATGAGGACAGATACCTTTTCTGTGCTATTTTTCAAGAGGAAAGCCTAGCTTTCCTTAACACCCACTGCCTTCCAACACACCCCCACTCTAAAGCCATACCTGCATCCCTGCTAGAGCCTGTTGGGCCAGCTTCATGCTCTTGGATTCCAGAGCCAGTTGAAGAGGAAGAAGACACTTCTCCCTGAGGAAAATAAAATTTAAAAAAAATAAAATAAAAAAAAAATTTAAAAAAAAAAAAAAAGACAGAGAGGGAAAAATGAAACTAAAAGTGGTATTCAAGTAACATTCCAGAAAGGCTGTATCACTTTCAGTAAGATCACACTTGCAAACAGTAATCAAAGATAATTTCACAACTCTGTGAAAAGCTGGCATGTTTCTTCACACACTGCTAAGAATGGTCTTTCAATTGAAATTTCACAAAACACAACTGTTAGCCCTCTGTATGCATATGAATGTGCAAAGCATAAAGATGACATTGATTCACAACTCTCTAGTGTTCTTTCAACTCAGTGTGTTGAACATTAGACTTCAGTCACTTACCTTCTGTTTAATATTCAAGTTTCCAGAAAACTGGTTTCATAATCCACCTTCTACTGAGTTTTAGTCTATGGCCTGCTCTACAGTACAGTGCACCCTGTTGTGTTAGCTCCCTCCAACTATAAATGGCATAGACAAAAGTAAATCAACATTAATGAGTTCAATTTCCACCTGAATTAGCATGTGCTATAACTATGACTTAGTTGTACTTTGATTATAGAATAGCAAAAATTTAATAATAAAATTAATTATTAATTAGGATATTATTTTAGATGTTTTTGACTCAGTGCTCAGATACTAAATTTATTTAATTTAGTGACCAAATCAAACACTGCCTGGAACTGTGACTTCTCTGTTTACTCCTTGCTTTTTATCAGAAAAGGGTTGCAGCATCTGATAAACATGTAGTAACCACAAACCCTTTAAGCAAATCCTGCTAGTTGGCAGGAAACTCATTCCTGATCAGAGATACTCAGCCTATGTCCAACTGTAGCTCCCTGAAGATTTGCACTTCACTAGGTTACATATCATAACAGGCACTTATCTGTACATAGAGTCTATTTTTCACATTTGTGTAGACATATTTGCTTATGGCAAACTATTTGTGCCAGCCCTTAAGAGTCTCAGTACTCCCAGTGTCTGCATTGAAGTTGTCTCAGGGGAGGTTTAGGCTGGATATTAGAAAAGATTCTTCACCCAGAAGGTGGTTGGGCTCTGGAACAGGCTCCCTAGGGAAGTGGTCACAGCACTAAGCCTGACAGAGTCCAAGAAGTGTTTGGACAATACTCTTGGGCACATGGTGTGACTCTTGGGGATGGTCCTGTGCAGAGTCAGGAGCTGGACTTGATGATCCTTGTGGGTCCCTTCCAGCTTGGCATATTCTGTGATTGTACCCCAAGGAGCCCTTTTGGAATCGCATTAATTTCCTCTCCATGAAGACAATTGTGTGCAAGGTAAGAAGAAAACAATTAGTTGAGTCTCCTCTTACCCAGCTGGAAATTCTTCCTTCATAACTAGCTAAGGAGAACCCCTAGAGCAGAGCAATAATGATTACTGGAGTTTCAGAGGCATTGTCAAAGCTACCTAAAGTCTTGCACAGTCTGCCCATAACCTACTAACCCCACTCCAAAAACAGGAAGTCTACAACCTGAACTTTCTTTTTAAAAACATTTCAATGGAGATTACCAAACACTGGCCATTTCACCTTTGGGGAACCCATCTTGTAACTCTTTCAGTGGATCCTGGTTGCAGAGGGACTGATTTTCCATTCCAAAAACCAACTCTATTTTCATTTAGTTCAGTTGTTATTCCTTTCTCTCCACCTTTCCCAAAAAAACCACAAATTACAAGCTACCTTAAGGGGCACAGATCTGCTATTTGTTCTTTGAAATGCAACCCCTTCCTCTAATGATAAATTAAAGACTTGAAAGTCGCAAGCATGACTCAGTTAAGCAATATAGCAAGCTTCTGTATTTGGAAAAGATTTTTGAGAATCTGCAGGTCTTAATTTTTACCTTCTTCACAGGTTATGAGAACTTGCAAAAGGCCATTTGGCATAACACTATTGGAATCTTTTTAAAGAAACATGAATACTAAAGAACTTGAAGCACACTACATGTATATTTTAAAATAGATTTTTAACTTAAAGGTAACAATTTGCTCTGTGAGGTATTCTGAGAAACAGGCAAGCACAAAGCCCAATTTTTGCAGAAGCTCCTTTCTTCAATGTTTCTGGAATCAATTTAACTAGAAGGACTCTTGAAACCTGTGAGCTCAGCATCCAAACCAGCTTGAACTACATAACAGCTAGGAAATATTTCCTGTAAGAGTGTCATACAATCCAGATCTGCAGAAACTGCCAAAACATCTACTCCAGAGTTCAGACACCAATCCTCTAGCCAGAATAGAGTTGGTTACCATCTATGTATCTAATGCCAACTTTGCTTGGATCTGGAAACGTATATAGCCTGCAGGTAAACTGTGATAGTGAGGTGCCACAGCAATACATCTCTAATCCACAAAGCACCTTTAAGTGCTAACTTTTACATTGTGACTTTGACATATTTCCTCTTGTGGTGGTTTTAATCTAGGCCTTCCCTGGTTACCAGTTTGTAACCAAGGAAGGGGCAGTATTCCCAGTATTCCATACAATTTTTACGTAAATCGTGGTATAAATAAGAGGGGAGGAGCGGCCTTCATTCTTCTTCTCTTCCGCTGAACTTCGGGAACAGTGGGTCCCTGTGTTGGTCTCGCTTATCTAAGGCTGAGGCCTGCAGCATCCACTGACCTGCCACGTGGAAGCTTGGAGAGTGCTGGCCGTGTCTGCCAATCCTGCTTTCTAAGGGACGTGGTGAGATTTGTTTTACTAGTTATTTTACTAGTTCTTGGGTTTGATTGTGCGTATCTATTCGGTGTCCCTTTTTGTTTCCTTTTGTCCCTTTTCTCCCCTTTCCCTATCCCTTCAGGGGGTGTTTGGATTCCCGTTTGCTGTGTACATAGCATCTTAACTGTAATATACACAAAATATATATATATTTTTTATATATTACTAGCTTGGTTTTTGAGTTCTTCAATTTGCATAGTTTTTTTTCCTTTGCCCTGGGGGAAGTAGAAAGGGGGGAAGAGAAGGGCTGCTACTGGGGGTTGTGCATTTGGCAGGGAGCCAAGTCCGAACCATCACACCTCTTTTAAAGAAGTTTTTACTATCACCCTGTGGGAGAGAACTCACACTTGAAATTAGTAGATCAACAGATGCCAAAACAGGGTACCTTTGCATTAACCAGTACTCAATCATCCAGACACAGATAGGAAAAAAAAAAATCACAATAGTGTATATACTAACTGCAGAGATGCTAAAACCAGATGATTATTTAGACCTTAATCTCTTCAGGGTTGAACACCATATTTGCTTTTAGACTTTCTACAGATCGATGCAACAGCATATAAACATTTTGGGCATTATTAATACAGAACAAACTTATTCTCACATTAAAGTGGATGGAGACCGGGAGGAGAGGAGAAAAGGAAGGCAAAAGTTACTGGAGTGGATCCAGTTCAGTTTCATTATAATGAAGACAGGTGGGAGCTCCTACAGCTTATGTGTAGCTACCCTGCACATCAGCATGTTGCCTACCATCTGTCATCACATACTGCAATGAGCAGAGAACAATGAGAGCCTTGAGATATGTCCCAAAATGAAGAATAAAAAATGATAAACAGGAGAATGGAAATTAGAACAGATTCAATTAGCTGAACTTCCCATCCTTGCTAAAAAAGTTTAACTGAAAATCTAATTAAGGTTGCTGTAGACTGTGTTCCCACTGTATTCTTGGAGAAAATGAATTGCCATTGTGTCATTTCCTGTTCTTGTTACACACTCAGTCAATTAAACCTTTAGCATTTCCATGCTAGAGCCATAAAACACATGCAGAGATACCTTGCAATGTTTGATTAGCTTGAGCACCTTCTACATTTCAGTTTAACCTGCTATTTAAAGGCATCATTGGATAGCATGAGAACACAGAAGGACATGGTAGATAATCCTCAGGAAGAACAGGAGAAAATGACGTAAATTCAGTCAGTCCCTTCTAAGGTCTACCATTAAAAAACTGGATTGAATAAGGATGCACAAGAGAGAATGCAGACCAGAATTTGGTCTCAGAGTGCAACGAAGTAAGGGACTGAGGTTTCCTCTTATACCTTACAGCCCTTTTATAATTCGACCCTGTTTTGAGTGGTTCCAAACTATGGGATCCCATTGCTTACTGCACTGTCTGATGTTCTGTACTGTTAAGTTACAATTCATTCAGCTTTTGTAATGCAACACATGTAAGATATTCTACGTAAGTGAAGTTCTCAGATTAAGATGGTGCACAACAGTATACTTCAAAACACATTTAAGAATGTTTTCCCTTTACATAATGTACAGAAACTAGTTGCACACTGGAACTCTTAAGTTGCACGCAGGTATGGACATACATACACATGCAGTTTTAGGCACAAAGGCCAACTTAACCCTGAATGAGATGAGTTGAGTACAAAACAGAGGAAGGATGAATGGAAGGGGGAACCTTTGACTTAGAGAAGGGGAAGTTATCTGCCCAGGGTCAAGCAAAAAGCTCAGAGACAGAACCAAGTGCATAATCCAAGACCAGGCTGTGCTTCCTGAATTACCCCACTCCGTGACTGTCAACTACACAAACTCCAGAATGAATCACGAGAAGAAATAAATAATAAATAGCCTTTATATTCAGCACGCTAGGTTACAACGACCTTTCTAGTTGTCTGTGTTTGCAGTGGCTCATCAACCTACCACTTTCCCTGCAGGTTTGGAACAAGGGGTGCTATGACACATCAGCCAAAACAGACTGCCAAAAAGGTCAGAGAAAGACAGATTACTATTGTAAGGAGAGAGATCATAAAATTTTTTTTATTCTAATTGTAGTGAAGAAAGCCTTCAGTGAGAAGAGAATAATGGCACATTAATTCATTCTCATGATAAAAACTGTAAGGAAGATAGAAAATGGCCCAACCTTAACTCCTTCTTGTTAGTGCCCAGAACACAGTCTCAACCTACCTTCTGCTTCTTGACTTAGGGAAAGGGGTACTATAAATGAGGCATTTTTCCCTTCATGCAATTGGTGA